ACTTCTAGTTAGAGCTGAGCTTTTGGTAAAGGTGCGTGATGTGTGTCCTGGAGAAATGAGACTGCTCATGATAGATAATTTCCTGAACTTGACTGGTATCATGACTTAGGTAAATCAGGAGCTATGGGGCTTGGGAGGTTTTCTTTTTCAGCGTACAAAGTTTTGACAAGCTGGAAACTCAAATATTTGTTTTAAATGATCTGAATTCTCAAAAAGCTTTAATAATGTTTTTGAGAAGCTTGGTTAAAGTTAGTTTACATTCATGATAATGTAATCATTTTGAAGTCTCTTTTTCAGTGCCATCTTTTAGATGCTTCCACATTGGCCTTGCTTTTTAATTGTAGTTTAAGATAATTTCTGCCTTAGTATACTTATTTCTGTCGTTACAAAATCCTTTACAGAATTTCAAATTGTGGGGATGACTTTGTTCTTCTTACACAACAGAAATTATTTTTCAGAACCATTGGGGCTGTGGTGTATTTAATATCTGCAAAATTCACTCTTAAACAGGAATTTGCTTTTCTGCTCCTTTTTCTGATGTGGAAAATGGAAGCTGCTACAATTATAGTAAATCTGTGTGGTCTCACAGAAAGGATTTGTAACCAGGAACTCTTGACGTAGAGAACTGGTAGGCAGTGCTCACCTTTCCTTTTTAACATCTGGATGTAGGGGCAGCAGCTTCTCTTTATGGTTTCTCTTGGGAAATTGCCCTTTTGAAAATGTTCAAGACTTGATAACGAAGGGAGCTAATGATCAGAAGAGATAAATCCTGTAACTTTGTATTTCCTTTGTAAGGTCATTTGGAGCACGTGGTGGTTCTAGCAGTATCATGCCTGGACTTGTTCTGCTGAGAATAGGAAAAAAAAAAACAGTGTAGCATTGCTGGCATGCGTACAAGGTTGGCATATCTGTTTGTGAACAGCCTTAATGTGATAAGCCATACTAGGCAAAAGCACCTCCTCGAGGAAGCCAAGCAGACTTCCCACCTATTGCGTTTTGGATCACTCTCATTGAATTCCACAGGTTAGTTTAGCACAAAGTTAGAAGATGCTGGATGCTGCCATTGTGGTGGGAAGTACCTCTAATGTGTGAGGACGCAGTAGGTGGAGCTCTCTCTGCATTGCTACAGCAGCTCACAAACTGGTAGCTGTGACTTGCTGGACTGCCTCGAAGCTTGCCAGCCTAGGTGTTACCCTGATGGACTCCCTTATCTGATGTAACTGAAGATAATGTGCTGTGATAGGCAAAGGATTGCTTCTCAAGCAGAAATGTCTTTGCTCTGAGCGAGTGGAAATTTGCAAAGCTTTGTAAAGGAGCAGATTTCCACCTGAGGGATGGAGGGTGTAAAATTAGGTCCCAAGAACCGTAGAATGGTTTGGGATGGAAGGGACCTTAAAGATCATCTAGTTCCAACCCCCTGCAAGGGCTGGGCTCTGAAAGATTTCATAGTATTCTTTGCAGTGATGTAACAGTGGTGCTTCACATCCAGTTTAGGAAAGAGCTCTGTTTTCAGAGCAGAGTTCTGCTGCCTTCCTCTTTGGGAAGGAGATAGTTGCTGTTGTGCGCTGGCTGACGAGTCAGATGAAATCATCTCCGTTGCTGCCTCTGCACTGTGCTGATGTTTCTGAAAATGCAGAGACAGAGCTGCTATGTCAGCACAGAAGTAAACCTGCTCTCCCCAGAAAAGAAGTATTGTCTGGTTTTTGAAAGGCTGAGTGAGAAACCAGAGGACATAAAGCTTGAAATACAAATTAAACCCATGTCTGTCTTCCAGACATCTGTTTAATTTTTTGTCTGTATTGCCAGTTAATTTGAGGGCTTTAGCTAATTAATGTCTTCTGGCCTGCCATTCTGCAAGCCATCGAGCAACTCTTGGATCAGCTTGTCTCACCTGTGTGATGTTGGTCATTGAGTTTCACCCAGATGGCTCTATATCAAGTCTAATTAGTCCTTGTGTGACTAATCTCTGCATGAACTGGCTAGCCTGGGGTGCCACTTCTGTCTGAGACCTCTGCAGCTACAGGAAAATGAAGAGATGTTTTCAGATAAGTACAGTGGCCAAACCACACCCTGTGCTGCAGGAGGAGGTGAAAAAACCCACAGGGTCAGACCCCAGAGAAAACTATTCTTGACCCCAAATCTGACAGTCAACCCGGTTCCAAGAACAAGAGCAAGCGGGTTTTTAAACATATTCTCTGTATTCTTTGAAACCGCCAGTCGCACCTCTCCGTGCGCAGCTCTGGTCAATCTACGATACTTCCAGTTCAGAGGGAAAGACATCTATGTTTCTAGGTACTGAAATAAATGATGTGTCTTGAGCCACAGAGCCAAATCATTGACCCCTGAAAAACCAACCAGGTGTAAGCGTGCTGCAGGCAGAGTAGATGATTATTTTCTCTTCCCCTGTGTGAAGGATGGGAAGAAATGCAAGGACCAACATTCAGGTTTCTCAAATAACTGTCCAGCTGAATGCCCTGCGAATGGAACTATAGGGGAGGGGGGAAGAAAAAGCTGCATTAAGGCATATCTTTTCCTACTAAATGATAATCCAAAGTGTATAGATGTCTTCAGTTGTTTGTCTGAATGTTTTGGAGATCTGACCAAAGTGTTGTCCAACAGCTGCCTTGTGTGTTTGACCATCATATGGGTCATGTTTTGTGGGGGTTTTACAACTTTCTGAGCCCTGTTAACACTGGTCAACTTTGAGGAATTACCGTGTCTTCTGTAGAGAATTAAATTGAAAAAGCAGGATAGCTTGGTTCACATGTTGGAAGCAAGGTGCCTTCCAACCCAAAGCATTCTATGATTCTGTCTCTGTGAGGGTTAAGCACTTCGGTTTGAAATGAATACGTGGCTTATAAATAGATTCCTCTTTCACAAAATGCAGAGCAGTCTCTGTTTCGCAGGACGACAAGACCCAAAAACAAGCCCCAGAGTGAATGAGCGCCAGAACTGCACAGCTGATCCGCTGTGCAGGACCACCTCTGGAAGTTACTGAGACAGACACGCCGAAGCTTTCAGGTGAAAGGCTGCTAAGGTTCGAATTGCGGTGTGTCTCAAGAACTTATGAGGAGAAATACTGCATTTGTAGAAAAAGTCTTTTTGCAGACTAAGTCTTTTTGGCGTTGAGTAGTGTCCCTGTAAGTGATCTGCTGTTCTGCCTGTGCAGTGTAATGCTTTCCTATAGCATGTTCTGTACCATTCAAAATAAGAATTATCGTGCTATAAATAAAACTGGGCAAGTCTTGAAGGAAAACGATCGGATCCCCAGAGCCTACATTCTGTAATTTATTAGAGACCTGGCTTGGTCCACAGATGGCAGGAGTGGATGAGAACAAGAGGGTGACAGCAGCATGATAGTGCAGTGACTCAATTCAAAATGTCAGGGTGCGTGTTAGAGCTGGAGTTTGCTGGGAGACTGCTAACATCATTGTTGCAGCAATCCTGAACCGCGAGTGGCTTTGGCCAAATGCTTCTCCAGATCCTCTGCTTTGCAGCCTGTGCTGAGCTCGGTGCTGCTGCAGCTGTTTTGTTATCAGTACCAAAGTTAGCTGCTTTGAAGCTAGTTGAGATACACTGAGATGAGCTGCAAGCACACCTTTGATCCTCATGTAGATGTAGTCATAATGAATCTTATTTTCTGATTGTAGATATGCTAATAGTAGTTTTTTTAGGAAGGCATTATTTGGATCAGAGGATGCTGAAGACTTGGTGGAGTGTGGAAGGCGTTTTGTGCTCCTGCTGGGGCACAATATAATCCAGCAAAGCACAAAAAAAAAAGTATCCTGAGTTTGTTTAAATGAGTAGTTTTGTAGCTTTCCATGAGACCATTTGAATATTTACCTGAATTAAGGCATAGTAGTTAATACTTTGCAGGATTGTGCAAGTAACAACATACCCAAATATCAGTTACGGTTATCAACAGAATATGCAAAGCAGGTATCAAGGATGATGATATTTTACCATTATCTGATTGTTTCAGCATGACTACCGTAGTTGTTAGCAACAGGATCATGGATGTCTCAAAGCAAAACCTGGAGGAGGGTTTTCTATGGAGAACTTCTGACGTGAGCCTACTGGTCAGTCGCTTGCTCCAATGCTGTCTCCCAGCTGCTCTTCTGTTATGATATTCTTCATTTGTCAGATCTTAATTAATAACTGCAGCATATGCAGAGAGGATGGCAGTGAGAGCTGCAGTGACCTTTGGTGTTCTGTCTTCCTCTGCATGTGTTTGTTGGGAGACCTGCAGTTTAAATCAGCATGGTAGAGTGAAGTTACCCTGTATTTGTTAGGGCTGTAATTTGTAGTCCTTATTTCATATCTAATGAAATCATTAGACTTACATATTCCATGCTGAAACACGCATGCTCTGAGGTTTGAATTCAGATTAATCTACTTCTAAGTTACACAAGTACAAAATAAAAAAATAAAATAAAAAATCAGAATACTTTAGAAGGGAAAAAAAGCAATTCTGGGTCCTTTCCTTTTGGTAACTCAGAAATGATTAGACCTCTAGTCCTGCCAGATAAAGAGAATTGTTTTCTGGCATAAGGGAAAAACAGATTATCAGTTTAGATTAAATAAGAACGTGTTTTGAGCACTTGAGTTGAGGGTCTTTGTTTTGTGGTGTGGTGATTTTGGGGGGTTTTTTGGAGGATGTGGGCTCTGTCAGATCAAATAACACTAGCAGCACATAGCTATAGCTTTTTCTGTATGATGATCTATACACTACTGCAAAAGAGACTGCTGTCAGGGTAAAATTTCCGTTGCACTGTGCACAAATAAGAAGCTTCCAGTGCATGATCCCACCTAGTCATGGGGAAAGCAACTTGCACGTATCTGCTGCCATGCAGGAAGAAAAACACATGCAAGTGGGGAGGCATTCTCTCTCTCATTTGGAAAACAGCGCTGGTATTGCACTGCTGAGTGCAAAAGTTGACTGGACAACCGCAGCAAGCAGAGGTTGCAAATCTCTCATCGGTTTTATTTCCCTTCTGCAGCTGATGAGGAACACCAGCAAAATGTGGCAGTGGCAGCCAGACCTCGGGCCCATGCCGAGGAGCGGGGAGATGGGATGCCGAGGCGCCGGAGGAACATGGGAAACCGGCTGATGGCCCAGAGGAGAGTGCAGCAGGCAGAAGACTGGGCAGCAGGTAACACTCGCTTCAGTTCATCTTGCAAATGCTGAAATGGACCTTAACAGCAGATGTTAAGGTTGGTGAAGGGGTGCAGCTGGCTCCTGAAGGAAGTTTTTCAGTTTTGCTGACTGTGAATTATTTACAGCTTGACTATAATCTATTTGACTGTCCAGCTTCTCTCTGTACTGCATCACTTGTCTCTAGATACCATTTACCTCTAGCTGAAGTGTCTGCCTCCTCCTGTGGTGCATCACAGCAGTTTGTTGTGCCAGCAGTGCATCACGTATTCTTCACGTACTTCCTAGAAACTGCCTTTTGTATTTCCTGCAGGTTAAATTTGGGTAAACAGAATGTGCACCTTGCACTAGAATAAGAAGCTGCAGTAAAGTATTGGTTTATTTCAAATCAGTGGGAAGCATTAAGTCCCCAATGTAATCTCTGCAAAATCTGGATTTTTTTTTCCAAGAAGCCATCCAGATCATGGTCAGAGTCAAGCTGATTAGCTGGGAATCACCCCAAACTGCAGCGTTTTGTCTTACTGCTAGCAGGTTGTTGACGAGTCCTCTGTTGGATCTACAGTTAATAGCTACACTTCTGTGGTGTGATTGTAGACAAGGATATGGTGATAAATAATATCTTTCTACACCTTGCGAGCCTCACTCCCTTTTCTGGTGAAACTTCACACATAATTATCATTATTACTAGAGAGATTATATCACGATGATTCACTTAACTGGGTTCCTTCTACTTTCAGAGTGTGGGTTAAGTGTTCAAGGTTTCTGCTGAAGTATTGATAAAAGTGGGCCTTGCTTAGCTTGAGTTTGCAGTGGAGGTCGAAGTGTCTTTTTGGTCTGCAGTAGGTGAGAAACAGTGAGCACACATCTGTGTGATGTCTTGATAGGGGCTAGTTGCACTTTCTTCAGCTTTTCTTGTTTTGCAGCTTGTAGAAAGCCTCTTGGGCTCAGATCGGTGGGTAAACGCGCTGTTCGAGCTAGTTGTGTTCAATGGTTTTGCAAATGCAGAATTGACAGGCCTGAACTTTTCAACTTTTGTTATTTCTTTTTCATATGATAACATCCTGGAAAGAAAATGGAATCTAAAAATCTTTTGCCTTAAACTTCAGACATCAAAAGTTTGAACGCTGAAGGCCGACAGTGAAGCTGTCAAAGCAGCGGCTTATCTTACTTTATCACTTTAGCAATAGAAGAATCCATGTCATTGGGCTTTATAAATAATTCTTTTGCAGCTCACTGTACATCAGATGCAAGTGCTGCAGCTCTTGCATCAAGTTTTCTTTGAAATGACATCTCTGCTTTATTCGTTTGGGTTTTTTCATTATTTGTTTTTCAAATTAAATCAACTTCTTGCTCTGTTCTTCTGTTTTGGGCTGCTTTGTGTGGTTTTTATTCATATTCTGGAATGGTCTTTCCAAGTGCCTGAAAACCACTGCACAACAGTAACACCAAAGCCTTGGGAGACTGAGCATAGACTTCAGCTGTGGAGAGAAGCATCTGTCCCTGTTTCCCTGGTGTTGAGGTGTGGAATGTCTAACGGCCATATTTCTTGGGATTAGGAGAATCCTAATGAAGACAGGCTGAGATAGTTGTTCAGCCTGGAGAAGAGAAGGCTCCGGGCAGACCTTCCAGCAGCCTTGCAGTGCTGAAAGGGGCTACAAGAAAGTTGGAGAGGGGCTTTTGACAAGGGCATGTAGTGGTAGGACAAGGGGCAATGGCTTTAAACTGAAAGAGGGGAGATTTAGATTAGATCTAAGGAAGAAATTGTTCACTCTGAGGGTGGTGAGGCACTGGAAGAGGTTGCCCAGAGAAGTTGTGGCTGCCCCATCCCTGGAGGTGTTCAAGGCCAGGTTGGATGAGGCTTTGAGCAACCTAGTGTAGTGGAAGGCGTCCCTGGCCGTGGCAGGGGTGTTGGAACTAGATGATCTTGAAAGTCTTTTCCAACCCAAACCATTCTATGGTTAACTCCTCTCTGTCGTGGCCTGGCTGCATCTGTGCTGCAAAACCCTTAGCCTGGCCCAGAGCTATCTGTGTTAGTGTGGGGTTTGAGGTTTTTTCTTAGAGAAGGATGTGTTACGTGTTTTTAAGCCCATTCTGTGGGCGTGTGGCGTAGGCCTGGAATACCTCTTGGATTTGCCTCCTTTATGCGAGGGCCATGTGCGTTTTTTCCCTGTCATTGCATTATACAGCAGTCTTGTCTAATTACTGCCTCCATTTGAACCTGTTGAAATAGCAAGTTATCCCCACAGCAGAGTTTTGTGTTACAAAAATTAGTTGACTCACATGGAAAGAGAGCTCAGAATGCATGCAGCGATGTACAGTCAGGCAATGCAGGACCAGTCGGGGCACCCGGGGCTGAAGAGCAGAGGTTTTCGGCCATGTAGACACAAACACTGAAGACAAGCCAGTCTGGTTTCTTCAGTCTTGTAAGTGCTCTTGTTTCTTTAGAAGGCTTCTGAACATCTGCCACCGAGTGGGGTTTTTTTGTTGTTGTTGAAATATTGTTACATTTGTTAAAATGTTTTACTAGTAAGTTTCTGTTCTGCGTGTGGAATTTCCACTCTGGGCCTGTGTTTAGCTTTGGGCAAAGCCACTTGATGCTGCTCTGTGTCGCTCTGACTTCCATCCCAGGTCGGTGTAGGCATAACACCAGCCCGTTGCTGCAAGACATCTAGCACTGAACTCGGGAAGGGCGTGAGGATGCCCTGACCGTGTCTGTGTTACCCTTATAGACATAAAGTGGAGTCAGGTAGGAGCTGCTGTTACCGCCAAAGTGTTCTGCCTGTTGGGTGCCAGTTCTGCTGACTCTAGGAAATGGTCTCAAAGCAACACTTACAGGCTTTGGAGCTGCGGTTAACATGAAGGTTTTCTGTTTTCCATCTAACAATCAGATTTCAACTCCAGAATGAGAAAGAAAGCTTCAAGGGTAAAACAGTAGCCCATGGTTTCTGCTGCCTGTGCTAAGTTATTGTATTGTGCCAGTACCTAAATCTCTTGCAGCGTAATGGAGGGGGAAAACCCAAACAAATTGTGGTGCTGGGATCAGAACTTTGATAACTTTTAATTCTTCCTTCTGTAGTTGAAATCTTAGTCTTATTTACTTGCAAGTCTGAGTAAGGACGAATCATTTAATACAGACGATTTTTTTGAGTACTCAAATCTCCACCCATTGCCAGTGGAGCTAAACCAGGTTATAATTCTTCCTTTAGCTCAGTGAGGTGGGGTAAGACACCTAAATTACTTGCAGATTGGCACAGACAGAAAATAAAGGGTGAAGCACTAAATGCCTCGACTTTCCTACCAGAATTGCAACCCACACGGTGTACACAGGTCCCTTATTCACGGGTTCCACGTGGGCCGGGCTGCGCTGTGGGGGCAGGCCCGCCAGCCCGCTGCCTACGCTGGCTCCGTTTGCCTGAGTAGTGGTTTTCAGTGGTTAGCTGAGCACTCAAAGGAGGTCATCTGTTATGAGAATATCAACATCTATTAATATCCTCTGATGACCAAAGATTGCTGGGGAGATGTTTTTCGTTGGTGACAAAGTAATTCTCGAAATGACTGAAGCCCCCTGAGCTGTGTTCCGCCAGCGTGACGTCCAGGCTGGCTTTAGAAACATGGGTTTGGTTGGCTTATATTGCCCAACTTATTTCTGGTCGTAATACTACTGTCTTTCATGCAGCCCAGTGCATTCAGGCGATTTGTTCAAGCCTCTGTGCCTTAGAGGACATCTGCTCTGCATGTTGTAGCAGGGTGCCTATGCCTTTCCCTCTGGAAAATGAGTCTGGAAGAAGAGCTGCCTATTCATGTGGTTAGGTTGCTTCCGATATCCCAGTTAGCAGACTCGATTAGCTCTGTTGCGTCTTAATTTAAATTGAACCCTTTAATTGTCTTTAAATTAAAGACAGAAGTGGCTTTGTGGGGCTAGCTACAGCCAAGGCAAAAATAAACTCACTGTAAGGCATAGATGTGTGTGGATTTCAGGCATTAATCATCTAGGGCAGGAGAGGGCAAGCTAAGCAGTGGAAGAAAGCGTGGGAAAAGGGATAAATTGGAGTCAGGTTGTGGATTGTTTGGGGCATGAGGAAGTGTGAATAAAGAGCATTAGTCATTTTCCAATTTCAGATCCCGTTTATTTATTGACTGAGGAGGGTGTCTTTGGCTCTTGTTTTTCCCCAACTGGCGCTCTTGAGTGTATCCGCTTGGACTTTGATCACCTTTGGGTACATGTAAAGAGGTTTTGTTGACAGCTTCGATTGGGTTGCTGGTTGTGTGCAGAAAAAGCAGCCGTCCAATTCTCAAGTTGAGCTTCCACTTCCAAACCTGCTCGTTGTGCCTTGAGTACTGCGCGGAGCTCTACGGTGAAGTAGGTATTTCTCTTGACACTACGTTTTTTGCAGCTGGAAGCAGGTGGTGACCTAGCCAATCTGATGTTTGCGTAGAAGTTTTAGTGCTGTAATTTCCTATCGAGTGACAAGAAACTTGTGGGGATGAACTTAAAATGGCAAGTGTGGTTGAGTCGTCTTGACCCTCCTGTGGTAAAAATAGCGAGGATGATGATCTGAGGCAAACGTCTGTTTTCTTGAAGGATTCTTTTACAAAGTCACTGTCAGAAATAACATATAAACATATGGTGAGGAAACCTGCCTGCCTTAGTAAACGATACAAGGAGTTTGTGGAGAGACAGGGGCATGCACAGGGAAAATGCCTTTTCCAGGGCTGCTCAGTCAGTTGGTGAGTAGAACACATTTGAGAGTCCAGGTTTTCTGTCGCTTGGAGTGGTTTCTGGGACCGGAACTTGCTGCTGTTGAGTTGGGGGAGGTGGCATTTTTGTTAGCTGAAAAGGGTGGGTGTCACTACACCATCATTTAGAGTAGTTACAAAGAAACAGACTTCCCTAAGCATTGATAGCAATCTCCAAACCACCCAGCAAAACAAAGACCACTGGGCTACTCTCTGTGTGGAAGGCTTTGGTGGGTGTTGTGGATGAGGCTGAGCTAGATA